GACATCTACCTTCTCCTGCCCCTGCACCTCAGTGCCTCTGGTGCTCAGTCTTCGAACACAAGTAAGAACTCACATCAACAACCCTCTACCTGCTCTCCTCAGAACAAATTCTGTCTTTGGGTTTTTGGTCCTCTACGTACACGTGGCAGATTATGGGACTTTTGGAACGATGTGAATCAATTCCTATAATAAATCACCTCTTATCTCCTTCAGGACAGAGTCAGTAGAATATATATTCAAACTCTCTCTCCAAATATATGTAATATATTTATATAAATATATATATAATATGTATAAATATATATCCCATATGTATATATGTGTCCTGTATATGTATATATCCTATTGATTCTCGGTCTTTTAAACAATTACTAACACAAACTACAACAATCATTCGCCTCCATGACGTAAATATATGTGCATTTAAATAAATTAGTAAGCATCAAAGATTCAATTGAATGATTTTGAGAGCGATTTAGATATAAATTCTTGATGCCTACATTTGCAATATGGCAAAATGTCATTATAACTAAAGTTTTGATGAAAATTTTTGATATTAATTTAAACAAGCATAAGAGGGAGTATATTTTTCAGAGTTCACTCAAAGCAGACTGAGACTGAGACATTACCAGAGGGTAAGGAGTTTTCAGTTTTGGCTTCCTTGCCAACTAATAATTTCTTCCTTGCTTATTAACCAAAAGCTTGTTCCATAGACTATCAGTTGGGACTAATACCCCTTTTAACATTCCTGGGAATAATATATATATATATTGACTACCTCAATACTTGCTACCAGCATCTTCTTCTCTTCTTGTATTACACCTATGCTACTACTAAAAGAAATCTGTTTATCTGATTTAAAATAATCAGCTTTAGCCATTATTAGCACGGAAATAATTTCTTGTAGTGACAAGGATCAATCCAGTCTCTGAACAATAACTGAAAACATAAGCATCATTAAAATAGACTGCTTTTCTTTTCTTAGCTAGTTTATTTCTCACCTGTATGAATTAAATCTTAAAAAGAAATTCTGAACTTTATGTGTATTATGCATATAGAATGTATTTATCATACAGATTAATAAAATTTCATATTTTACAAGAAAAGAAATGGAGATGCTTTATTTCAGGAAGCACAAAGCTGACTCTGTAAAATGATGCAGGAATACATCCTTTATTCCTGGAGATGGTATATTCTATTACAACTAATGGATATTTCAATCCAGAATATTTTCTTTAAGCCTTATGGGGAAGTCAAAATGATCAACATGCCTTTATTTTTTACAGTGAGATTAGTTTGCCTGAGACAAATGAATGTCTTATACTAGCACACTTTAAATAAATAGGAGCAAAGTGTGAAATTTCAGATTTATCAAAAACATGAACAAATTTTAGACTAAGGATTCAGACGGCCCTTACAGGAAGTGAGATAGATCATACTTCTCTATATTTTATTCCTAAAATGAGTAATCTTCAGAGATGTAGTAATAGGACTAAAATTATTAATGTAAACAATAGAGGGCTTATCCAAGAATGGTTTTGCTATAATTGTCAAATATAGTTCATATTTTTTTTTATAAATTGGGATCTTCTGTCACTCCTTGTAACCTTCAGGAAATTGATCATTGATTAGATTTCTCGTTCATCTTGACAGCTGTATGTCCTAGTCTATTTGTAACTCTCATCAAAACATTCTTAAATCTTTCTGTTTGGATGATCTGTTGGCAAATAGAAAGAATAGGTCAAAAACAACAAAAAAGATGAGACTTCTCTCATACCTATTCTCATACAAATACATCTTCTATATTTTTAAGCATTTTTTAAAATGGAAATGAGTCAATTTTGTCTAGAACTGTGTAAAGATTTATAAATACTTATATATAAAGCTATCAAACTGTAAGTCAGTCCTAGTGAAGTGATTTGAAAGATGTTTATGTATGATTTTATTTAATCATTTTTATTCATATTTCTTTATTATCTCTTTTCTTCAGACTTTTTGTAAGAAACAAGTAATTTTGCAAAAATAGAAACTTTTCAAAAGCAGTCATTTAAAAGGAAGCATTAGCAAAAGATAGAGTTAAGTGAGCTATTCAGTACTACCAAAATGTTTCATGGCCAAGCAGCTACATCATTTTTATGAAAAGATAAAAATGTAAAAACTATAAATTCAACCTTGATTTTATGCACACTGTGTTCTAATTATAACAACCCAATGTATAAACAATACATGCTATAGTTCTGACAGTGAAGTTGTGATGAAACAGAGTCCAAATTTTAATTATACACAGTTCTAATACAGTGAGCACTGCAGCATTTCTGTCATCTTTGAAATGGTAACAGAATGAAAAAAGTTTTTGAAATATGAGCATGAAGGTAATGAGATCAATAAATGTCAGCTAGAAAAGTAATCACAACTCCTGAGACTCACTGACCTTTCTACAAATTCCAGAAATAATAGAGTAGCTTAGGATGAGGAATTCTTTAACAATGAGAAACTGATACAATTATAAGAAGAAAGGGAAGCCGAGATTTCCCTGTGACATCAAAAACATTGCCTATAAAGGTAATTTTGACACAATAATTTATTCCCTTTATTTTTCTTCTAAGGTCACCACCAATACAGATCACAAATCTTTGGTGTTTACAGAGACAAAATTTTCATTGAAGCTTTCTGAATACTAAAATACCTGCATCATAAGCTTTTTGTTTTGTGATGTTTAGCATTCTAATAGATTTTAATTAGTTGGTAAAATTTAAATACTCAAAGTGACAAATACTCTATTTTTGGTACTTTTAAAATCTTCCACTATAAATATAAATTAGAAAAATTCAATTTGGGTAAGTGTCTCAAGGAGTTTTGGGGAAAAATTTAATCAACATGAAATATTCAACATTTGACTATAAAATATAATTACTTAAAGTTCTATACTATGATATTAGTATAATTTTGAAGTCCAAAAACTTTAAACTATAAAATACTGTTGGCAACATGGGTGAGTTTCCACAAGGATAAAAGGGGCTAGAGGGAATATATTTTCAGTTGTTATGACATTTATCCTAAGAGCAGGCTGAAAACTGAGTCTTTTATCCTAACAAATCAGAGAGTAGTTCTGCTGAATCACAGGTATTCATAAGTGATGGAGGAACCAGGAAAAAGAGAAAGCCAGAGGTATGAGCCACAGATTCTCCTAAATCTTGTCCCTGTCCTCGGCTGACCCCTGACATAGGCATGCAGCGGGCAAACCCAGGCAGTCCATGCAAAGCTGAAAAATTGCACTAAGACTTGAGATTCTGGCCAAGGAGCAAAGTTTGCAATCACAGTACCTGGGAAGCAGTTCAGAATTACTTGGCACATGAAGAATCAAACATGTAACCAAGATCAAAAGAAAAGACATGCAAATGAGGTTTGAGTGGACAAAAGTTTACCCAAAAAAGTCTATAAAAGTAGACTCTCCCCAAAACAAAAGACCCAATAAAAATGGGCAGTAGAAACCCAATAGAAAAGAAAGACATTTCTCTGAAGGAGAAGTACAAATACCACACAGAAAAAAAACTGTTCAACATCTCTGGCCATTGGAGAAATGAAAACTAAAAGAACACTGAGATTCCATCTTATTCCAGAAAGAATGGCAATTATCAAGAAAGCAAATAATAACAAAAGCTGGTGAAGCTGTGGGTAAGAAGGGACCATTGTACATTCTTGCTGGGAATGTAAACTAATGCAATCATGGAAATCAGTGTGGCGATTCCTCAAAAAAATAAAACCTGAAATTCCATTTGAGCAGGATGTCCCCCTTCTAGATATTTTCCCAAAGGATATAAAGACATCATATTACAGCATACCCATATTTACATCAGCACAATCCATAATAGCTAAATATTAGAAGCAGCCTATATGTCCATCAACATGTGAATGGATAAAGAAAATGTGATGTTCGTACACAATGGTGTACTACTCCTCCATAAAAAAGGATAAACATGAGTCTTTTGTAGGAAAGTGTATGTACCTTGAAACCATAATGTTAAGCAGAATAACACAAACACACAAGTTTAAATATCACATCATTTCTTATATGATAAACCCAAAATATCAATAAGGAGAAAAATAAAAGTAGGATACTAGGAAATAGGGAGGCAGATCTTTTGCAAAAGAGAGATAAAGGGACTGTGAAGGAAGAGAGAGGTAGGTGTGTTCTCCACATATACCAGCTCCCCCAAGAAATATAATCAGTGTGTATTGCAAACATGTAACTGTAAAAACAATGTTTTTAATAAAGTGATAAATAAATTGATTGAGCCAGAATACTTTTCTAGTCTACCAGTGCCTGAATCTGGTAAGAAATGTAGACCTACTAAATGATATTAAGCACATTAAACAATAAAGATAGGGTCTTTAATAGGATTATTCAAGAAGCAACATGACCATCTGCATCTGTTTGCATCCACAAAGATCCCAACTGAAAAGGCACTGTTTCGAAGAAGATCCTCTTGGCACACCTGTGTATTGGGAGACAACAAAGGAGTACACTCTAAAGGTAATACACATGCTGCACAGCCAACAGGCAGGAGCCAGTTCTGGAGTTAATAGGCAAACAAGGCCGCCAGCATTTTAAAGAGCTTGTCAACTGGAAGCAACATTTATCTAAGTTATGGCATTAATTCAGTGTTGACTACTTGTTGATACAAAGCATAAGAATTTGGGGTAAATAACAACACAAATAATGACCACCACAGTATCAGAATATAGTATAAGTACAATGGGATATATACAACTGAGATTAGGAGGTCAAGATAATACAAGAAAGGCCAGCTAAAAACTCATTTACTGCTCTAGATGTGCTATATTTGGAAATTAAAAGTATAGTGGTACTGATGGCAGAAAACACTCCATAATATTCTAACATATTTCACAGTTTCAGTATGTATCAATGCATAGTAAAAGAATATATACTCCTATTCTAACTAAATACTCATTCAGAACTATTATTTTTGTCCTCCCAGAAAATTCCCAACATGGGGAATCAAGATACATCTGAATAGCAAGATCTGAATATCTGTCTTGAATGAAAACAAACATTGAAAACAGAAGATGGAAGTCTGATGTAGGTCAGAATAGAGCATCTTCTCAATGTCCCCTTTCTTTTGGGGGTGCTATACCTGCCAACTGCATTTCCCCAAAATGATATTTTAACACAAGTTAATGTGCTCCTATTTCAGAGTTATATATGATGTTTCCTACTTGAGAAGAATTACACAAATTCAGCATTAAAGACAACACATCAAGGCTTCTGAAGCTTATACAGGACCCAGATATTCCTGATGTCTCTGGAAAGCTCCTTTGCTATGAAAAGGATAATTACAATGCAACCCCTGAAAGAACTCGAGAAATAAACATTTACATCAACCTGTCATGCTTTGACTTCTGAATAGGTCAGATTTCATTCCCATCAGTTTGCGAAGTGCTGAGCATATTACCACCTGCAACGTAAGTGTAAAATAGTATTAGTTGCAGAAATAACTCAGGCTCTGCTTTATGACTTCACAGAAAATGAAGCCCATGATGACTTTTTCATAAATCTAAATTACTTTTCCAATGGAAAATTACAATTCTAGTATAAATAATCTTGCTACACACATACACATATTTCTATGGATAACTTATTTCCTGGTAGTTAAAAATACAGGTTGAGTGAACAGTCTTCAGCAAAAGAATACAGTTCCGCCATTTGTGCCTGTCTTGCAGCTCTTTTATTGTGTTAGCAATTTAAAATTCTCTTTGAAGACTGTCAGTGGATTTCCATCTAAAATATATCATAGCCCATGATGATTTTTCCATGTCAGATAAATCCCAAATTATAAAATTTTCCTTAACAATACTAATGGAAAGTAAATATGCAATAATATTATGCCACTTTCTTGTGGGTAAATTAAATAACATTCTCATAAAGGTAGTGAATGGGAAATAATTTATATTTCTACTTGAGTTTAAAAGTCCATTAAATAATCACTTGATCTGATTAGAAATTTCATGCATCAGACAACAAGAAGAAACATGGAAAAATTAACCATAGATTGGGTGATAACGAGTGTAAATATCAGGCAACCTAAAAGCCAGAACCACTATCCTGTTAATAAGGAACTCCACAAGCAGAAGTAATATTCACTAGCCCAAAGAACTACATTATACACCAAGAACTGAGTATTTGAATTAGATTTATAAAATTAGCAGGAGCCTTTCTGTTCGAAAGAGCATAACAAGTACACAGATAAAATGCTGTAGAGCTTCATAATTACCATTTAGAACTTGGAGGAAGGAGGTGAAGAAAGGGTAAATACACATCCAATTTCACACATAACTAGCCAGTTATAAAGCTGAAATTATAACCCACGGAAGAGAAAATTTACAGCTTTCAAATACCTGAAATATATCTGATATGGTATATAATTGTTGCTTCATGCTGAGCTGCCATTTTGTACTTACTGTGGGATGGTTTTAAAAAATAAACACAAAATGCACTACTGCCTTTCAATTTTAAGAGCATAACCATGGGAAATGTGTACTTGACAGTAAACATGGCACTTTTCTCCCATGTTCCTACTGCTTCTGTTTTGAAAAAGCCACACATTTTACCATAGACAAGCCCTTAAATGAAGGAAAATGCACACATTTTCTTTTAATGCTCTGGTTCAAGTGGCATTAGGTATATAATTACTCAAAAATACAATACTTTTGCACATTCCTCAGTAAATGCTCTCTTAATATGTGTCAAAAAAACCTTTATATACCATTTTATACCTCAGAATGAAAGCTCTTGTTTTAAGAAAGTCAACAAATACAATCTTTTGCCATATTAAAAATGGTCACATCACTTAGAATTAGAACTGAATTATGATACACAGACAGTTTAAGGCCACTTTTTAAAATTTTGCTTTAAACCAGGTGTCGTGGTGCACACCTATAATCCCAGCACTTGGGAGGCTGAGGCAGGAGGATTGCTATGAGTTTGAGACCAGCCTGGGCTACATAGGGAGTTCCAGATCAGTCTCAACTATAGTGAGACCCTGTCTCAAAAAAAAAAACAAACCCAAAATAAATAAATACAATATCGCTTTAATTTTTCACACCTTAGAGACAGATATTAACAGATGTCTGGTTGAGAAATACAAGAAAAAGTACCTTCAAATCACAGTGGAGTTATTGTGTTTAATGATTATATTATTTCAGGCATAAAATAAAATTATATTTACTTTACACTCTATCCACAAACAAAACATTGATAATTATCATTCTTTAATTCAGTATCAATAATACATCCCATTATGGAACTTTCTTCTTATGTTAGTATTTTGGTGAAAGCTACCTGCATTTTACAATCCTATCTACTGCAGCCAGTGGCATTAACTTTTATTTAGGCAAAGAAAAATCCCTTGATCATTTTCAAAGAAAAATCATTGAGATCCACCGGAATGTGGAGGACTGGATCAGCTGTGCAGAGATCCCGCCCTCGCCTGGCCTGCATCCAGCTGACCGGTGAGCCATGTGGGGGCCTCTGCAACACCCCCCACCGTGCTCTCGGGCCTCCTGATTGTGCCACTTCCTGGATCTATTCTGCACAGGCACAAGTGGTCGTAAAGTTCATTGTACTGAGCTCCAGAAGATAGAACAGAAGTGAACAACTGCAATAAAGGCACATCAGACCTCTGTAGTTGTTAAGTTGGAGGAATCACTGCCTTCCATCAGAACTTGGACAATCTTCAGGGGAAGGGGAAAGGGAACCTGTAGTAGAACCTTGTAGTTCAACCCTGTGGGAGGTCAGGGAGCTAAATTTGGGCCTTGCAGCCAGAATTTAGCCTGAATCGCAGTGGTCTGCCCTTGGCTAGCTGAGACTTAAATGACTTAGTTCTGCACATTGCTGCACACATTGTCTACTGTGACAGCAGAGACACACCCTGAAAGAGGCCCTTCAAATTCTTTATCTTCTTTCTTTTTTTTTTTTACCAGGGATTAAACTCAGGTCCCTTGTGCTTGCCAGGCAGGTGGCAGAACCTCTGAGCTAAATCCCCCGCCTTCTTTGTCTTCTTTCTTTTCCTCATTCCATTCTGCAAATTCTTTCTTTTTTCTGTCTTTTTCCAATTCAATCTCTTTCTTGCTCCCCCATATTATTCTTCATCTCACTTTCTGTTCCTATTCCTGCCCTAATTCGTATTTCTTCTCTTTTCTTTCTTTTTTTTTTTTTTTTTTTTTTTTTTTGGTTTTTTTTTGTTTTTTCTTCTTTCTTTTCTTTTTTTCTCTCTTCTTCCTCACTCAAGGGTCACTACTTTTAAAGGAAAGTAAGACCCTATTACTGTTAAATTGTTCTATTCTTGTCCTTATTCTCACACTCTGTCTTTCCCTCTTGTCTTTGACAGTTTCCTAAAGTTTGTGTGGTCATCCTGTGTCCTCTGGCCTCACTTGAAGACTTCTCCTATTTTTCTACCTATATATTGCTCTCACCCTAACTCTTTCTAAGCCCCATCCTAAAGAGTAAAGTTACTATATTAAAGAGTTTATTCACTGTAAACATATTTTGGGCTAGTCCTCAATTTTGATTTAATTCACATGGTTAAAGGTGATAGCTTAATAAATACCACAAATGGACAATTTTTAAGCTGTGCTTAATGCTATTGTGTTGCTGATTGTATCAGTTGGGCTAAAGAGTTGTGATTGATTTAATAAGTTGTCCTTTCTGATATTATGAAAATGAGAGTGTCCAGGAGTCATTACAGACTCAAAAACTAAAGTGCAGCTGTATCAGGAAGATAAAAATAATGGCCCAGGAATTAAACCAAGGCAATCCAACAATGAAAATAAAAATGAGAAATCACTTAAGCAAGACACAAAGATGGAATTCCAGTTCACAAATGGCAAACTCTAGGGGAAATGAGATGGAAAAGTCTAATAGTGAACCACCAGGACACCCTGAAGTCATAGCACAGGAAGTAACAAAACATCAATAAGGCTCTAGAAAAATTCAAAACAGAAATAATTTCTCAGATAACTATGGAGATGGTGAGCACAATGATAGACATGATGAAAGAATCTAGAAAAGAAAATGAGCAAAAAAAAAAAAATAGATAAGCTCAGGACCATGATAGAAACCATGAAGGCCCCGCATAAGAAAGAAATGGAAACCATGAAACAGATTCAAACAGATATTCAGGAGATTAAAAATTCTATGGAAAGTTTTCACAGCAGGATAAATAGAATTTCGATATAGAAGATGGGATTGCAGTCAGTGGCCGTGAAAAGAGAGGTCTCTTAAAAATAGTAAGAGATCATGGGAAATCAATCCAACAACTCCTAGATAATGCAAAGAAGAATAACATAAGACTGATAGGAATCCATGAAGTAGCAGGAGAAAATATAAATGACTTAAAAAAGATGTTCACAGAATTAATGACAGAAAACTTCCCAGAGGGGAAGAATTTGACATACAGACAAGTGAGGCATATAGGACTCCAACTACCCCAAAAAATCTACACACAGACATATAATAATCAATATCCCAGAAATGAAAGAGAAGAACAAAATACTACAGGCAGTTAGAGAAAAGAAACAAATCACATGCAAAGGAAAGCCCATCAGAATCAGAGCAGACTTTTCAACATAAACACTCAGGTCAAGGAGAGCCTGGAGTGAGGTATTTCAAGTCCTGAAAGAAAACAACCTCCAACCTAGACTGATGTATCCTGCAAAACTTTCTTTCAAAATGAATGAGGAAATAAGATACTTCCATGACAAAGAACACCTGAGGAACTTCATGAATACTAAACCAGCACTATAAGCAATTCCAAACAATTTCCTAGAAAAAGACAATGAAGGTCACAACACCATTCAGCCCAACAGAGCAAATCAATTAGGCAAGGCAAGAAACTAAAGGGAGGGGTGAAAAATAAAAACAGCCAACAGCAGGACAATACTAAAACAGTGATAAGTCAATACACATCAGTTATAACCATCAATGTCAATGGCCTCAATTCACAAATCAAGAGAAATAGACTGGCAGAATGGATTAAGAAGCAAAATCCAACAATATATTGTATACAAGAAACACACCTAGGCAAAAGGAAGCCCATAGACTGAAAGTGAAAGGATGGGAAATAATTCTTCATGCAAAAGGAGCCCAGGAAAAAACCAAGGCTAGTTATCTTATTCGCAGACAAAGTAAATTTCAAACCAAAACTGATTAAGAGAGACAAAGAAGGCCACTGCATCCTTGTAAAGGGAACAATTCAAGAGGAAGAACTGACAGTCATAAATATATATGCACCAAATATGAATGCCCCCAACTACATAAAAGGAATATTAAGGAACATAAAAAAAAATAAGAACTAATATAATTGTAGTGGGGGACCTAAATACCCCACTAGCATAAAT